TGTGCGATATGGTTAGTGAGTGACATCACAGGTCCTGGGAATCGTTTCATTTTGCGAATATCACATCAGAAAATCACAAGCTGGCCGTACCTTACATCATCATTCCCAAACCTGTGACTAACCATCTCCCCCACACAGTCCGAGACGTCCCTCCCCCCTCCTCCCTCTATCCTCTTACCAGTGGGCGCTGGCGCGGGCCAGCATCGGCAGCTGGCACCGCTCGCGCAGGATGCGGTCCTCCAGCTCCTGTTCTGCCGGCATGCGGTGCTTCTTGGTGGAGAACATGCGCTCCATCTCGCGCTGGTTCTCCGCCAGCTTCTCCGGCTCCCGACGCTGAGAGCTGGTGGGACAGGGGAAAAGTGAGGTAGATCAGCCGCAGGATTATCATCGGACGGGTGATGAGCATTATTGGCGCTGTAGAACAGAGCGAGTAGAGAAACCGGGCCAAGCCGCTTTGGCGTTCGCAATCACAAATGGACACGTCCAGCGTTCGATTTAACTTATGCCGAGTACCAACAAGATTCCGATCACGAGGCAGAGGTTAGGTCAGGATCTAAGCAATAAGCTACGCTTGACACACCGGATCGGAGCATTGGCGATCTGTCCGATTCAAACACACCGGAATCTCACAGAAAGGGGTCCTGGACGCTGATCGTTGACCCAATCACGCGGATACTGAGCGAGAGCCCGATCCGAATATAATCCCATCTCAAATCTCCGTTCTAATCGTGACGTAGTGGTTATCTTTCACTCATCACCACACACTACTTCAACTGGCTTCCCTTTCCCGGGAACAGGCCCACCTAATGACGCTCTCGTCTTCGCCCTCACCTACTACACTCTCCCCAGGTGCACTAGGGCCCAGTATCCCTCTCCCCTCTCGTCCCGCCGCGCTCCGCCGACCTGGTGATGCGCTGCGGCCGGTCGTCGGCCGCCGAGTGGCGACTGCGGAACACGGGCGGCAGGAAGGAGCGCACCACGCGCCGTTGGCTGCTGATGAAGAGCCGCGGGTCGCGCTGCCGCAGGTACTGGCTGATGACGCTGCGCTGCTCACAGGCGCCCGGACGCGCGTCCGAGCGCTCGCTCAGGATCGAGGCGCGCGGCTGGGTGAGGTAGAGCAGCCGCTCACGCAGCTCTTGGCGGCGCTTGTCAGCCAACTACCGATGGACAGGAGTGTCAGTGACGAGTAACAAGCATTGATACTGACACATGCTGAGGCATGAGTGGACCAGAACAGGACCAGAGGCCAGTTTTACCAACAGAAATATCGACAGCTGTGGTTATTTCTCGCATAAATAGTTTAACTTGTGGGAGATGTAAGACCTAAAAGTGGCCACGGCAGATGATTTTCGAAGGCAAGCTTGGCCTCTGGTATAGCCACTGCCAAGTATTTCCTAGAAGCCCTGGTCAGATCTATTGACACATACTGGTTGGATAGGGAATGTCACAGCTCAAACATCCTTGATTCTGATGAATGAAAAACATGAAGAAACATGGATCAACAAAGTAACAATGAAAACAACACACAAAAATAGGCAACTCACCCCATATGGGTCATCAGCTGTGTCCTCCCCCTCCTGTTTTTCCTCAACTGCAGTGCTCTCTTTCTTCCCAATGGCAGCAGACTGCATGGAAGGTGTCTGAATGCTGACACGGTGGGTGCCGGGCTCCTTCTCAGTAGAAGGGTCTTTCATGCTAGAGCTGGTGGGCTCCTTTGTGGCTGACGGTGCTGGTGCCGGGGCACCAGGTTGGGCTGCAGAGGTGGCAGGCTCAGGGCCCACCTTGCCAGTGGCATTTGTTGAGGGTGTGACTGTGACCGCTGGTACCATGGCTGCAGACCGGGAACTCATTGCTTCTGTGACTGCTGCACACACAAAAGTAGCAGGTGAGTGGGACCCCTCCAAATTAATAACCCAGCCAGCAATTTTGCTCCGGGCCCAAGCAGGCGCAAGTGCGGATTGCCCGAGATTTTTAGTCAGGCTAAAGTCGGCTAGGGCTTGGGCTAAAGTTGGCGTATGACACAGAAACGCCGACTAAAGCCCATGCTCTGCCGGAGGTATGCCCGCTCTGCGAGCTCCGGGCAGCCGTAATTTAGCCCTAGTTGAGCGACGATTGGCGTTAGCCCGATTTAAGCCCGAGCAGTGAATCCATTTATATAATGGAAATTACTCTGGGCCCGAGCGGGCTGAACTCCGGCAAGCCCACTCTGTGTGCCCTGTCTATCCCGACTTAAGCCATAGAAGTGAATGGGGTTTATACATTGCAAACTGCTGTGGCTTTGCTCGGGTTCGGCTCGAGTGACGGCTCCTGTTTTCTCAAGTCTCGACTTGACTTCATCTTGCTTTTGCTTCACACTGGATCAAGTAGCAAGGAGCAGCCAATGCACTTTCAGAAGGTTGTGTGGTTTTAATGCATATTTAAAATTGCTACGCCCTACGGTCACTCATATGCTCTGTTAACCGGTCATCGAGCATTGCGAAAGGAAAGTAGTGGTTGAGTTTGATTGAATGTTTATTTCAAACGACTACAGACACGTCAAATGGAACACAAATACATGAAACAGTGGACTGCAAACTGCAGCAATTATATGGCATGAGTCATGAAAAAGCGCCATCAAAACTAAAAATCAATCACAAGACCCGCTAGCCTTCCTCCCCGTTCGGCGTTCATAATTCTTGGTTGAACACTTAACTGAAAGCATAAAGTAAGGACAGCAAGTAATCGCTCATAAGACATAAAGCAATTAGCAAACAATCGTTTATAAAGAACTTCACTCTGGCGAATGGGAGCTTTGGAGGCGTCTGGCTCCTCCACACACACACACATCTGCAGTAGGTGGTCGGCCAGCTTTCGGCGCAGTTTCCGTATATGTAGGCATACCTACTTAATTATAAGCAGGCAGTTTCCGCTAAACCACTTGGCGAGGGCGACAGCGGCGTCCACCCGGTCCTGGTTTGTATAACTATTCCATTTTTTGGAACAATTTGCTCGAATGGTACGTACCTGAAAAAGAGATCAATTGATTTAATTTACATTGCATGTTTGCTTGAAAAATAACTTATTGTTGCATTAATACTGTAACAGCACTTCTCATTGATCCGTATAAAATGTTCATTCGAATTTTTCAACGCGGACAGAGAATGAGCGTACTCGGTGATAAATAGATAAATATTTGTGTTTTGTATTTCATTTTCCTGGTTCAGAAGTGCTGTTATTTCACAAAGATATGCATAAAGGCAGTAGGCACGGAATGCGGCTTTTCTGAGCGAGGGTATAAGTCGCCAGGCTGAACAGCTATTCAGCTTCATGTTTGATGGCGTGAAACTCAGTCAAAATAATGACGTTTACATGCGATCAAGCGCACCATTCAATACAATTACCTACCGTAAAACTCCATGCCAGTCCACTTGATAAGAGCAATGAGCACTATCCCTTCTTCGCGCTGTCACACGCGCCCAAACATCAACCACCAAATGCCCAAACACCGGTGTGTCGTTTCGTCACACAGCGCGCAGACTGTCACAAACGCTGCACATGATTGGCGCAGAACTGCGCATGCGCGAACAGCCAAACAAGTATGGCTTAACTCCGGCTTTACTCCAGTTAGCCGAAGGACACAGCCAGCTTGATCAGCCCGCGCTCCGCCCAAGTTAAGCCTGTTTTGGATGCATGGGCAGATGTCGGGCTGAGCTACTGCTATCCGCACGTGGGCATAGCTGCGGCATGCCCAAGCTCAGCCCTAGTAAAAAATACATTGGTTTTGATCAAAGTGGGCAAACCCAAGCTAAGCCCAAGCTGCCCGACGTTTGCCACAGTTCAGCCCAAGTGAATTGCTGGCTGGGAAAGGGAATGCAGCAGATGATAAAGAGAGGCAGAGCAAGATCAAGATAGGGAGATAGCAGGAGAAAGAAAGGGTGATAGAACTACCACTGTACCTACTAAGCCTTAGCTGTACTCAAAGTATAGTGAAATATGATATTGTAACATTAAATTTGAAACTGATTCAACACTACTTTTACATTGACATTGCTTTCAAGCAACTTGAATTGCTGATGATGGCAAGACCCGGTGTCTATAGTACGGCAGATGTGGCATGAGCGGGAATAGGCTGTGAGAGCCGGTATCGGTAACCCAACCTGGACTAGATGTCTCACATTTCACAATATAATATGAACTTTTTACCTATAGCAATTAAAGGTGAGGTAACTGAATGCTGTTGGGGCGGACGTCTCACATTTCAAATATAATCTCAACTTTTAATTACAATTACCATCACACGCAAGAAAACTGAGTGCTGTACGAAAATTGCCGAAATCTTGTTACCTTAAATTCGAAACTGATTCAGCATTACCAGACCTTCACTTTGCTCGCACGCAACATCGACATCCGAAAACGAGAGTGAGAGCCCTGGGAGAAACGTCTCTGACTCTCTCAAGTCTCAATATACAGTATTTTCATAAAATTATATGCAAGATAATTGAAGCTGTGCCGGAATAGTATGTCTTGGCATCCACAGCACCTATATAAAAACTTAATGCTATGCATATATGCCACATATGACCCGACCCGTCATAATTCACTGCGATCACTGCTTTGTTGACAGTTTTTGCGTACGGCCTTGGTTTTTGCCTGATGCACTTTAATGCACTTTAGTGATTGAAATTTTCACTTTTGTTTGCGAACAATTCAGTAGGCATGTGAATGGATTTTTTAAGCTTTTCAAAACAAAATTCTCACATTTCTTACAAAAATATGCACATTTTTAGAAATATTAAAAGCAAGTCTTTATGTTACGTTTTTGAAGCCTGTTTCTAAAAAGAAGGCGGAATTTCAGTTTTATATCGATGCTGCGTCATAGTCACGCAAGATTATAATGATTTGAAAATATTTCATTTTCAAAATAAGTTAAATCGCCAATTCCGGGAAAGTAAACATTTGTTGGACTCATTCAACCTGTTTCAAATGTTGAGAGGTGGATAATGTTAGTAAAATCGATAGAAAAATTGATGGCGCTGAAGTTCCCGGATGCAACCGAATTCGGCAGTGTTGGTTCGTGTCCGTGTTTATGGTGGCCTGCGCCGCAATTTTTCGTGATAAATGTAATAAGCGGGATTTATTCGGCTTCCTTTTTTAGCAAGTTATACATCATGAACATCAAAGAACTAGACCTCTACTGAATCTCATGGAAGGTCAGTTCTTTCTGGCCGCACCAGCATATGCGAATGGCGCGCCCGTGTTGTGGTCGATGGCGTGTCGTGTCTTCCCGCTTATTTTCAGACAGTTACGCATGTTAGCAGTTAACCTGCAGTTTTATCACCACATGTCTATATGGTTAGTTGAATTGTAAACAGCCAATATCATACTTATTTCAGCATGCGCCACCTGTCTGTACCTACTCTTACCATTATAATTAGGCACAGCACTCACAATTTTGGTGACCTAATTAACATTGGCCATTTTATTTATATACTTCTTTTACAAGCTTTACTTGAATGGTTTAGTGAGTGACTCCACATCTGAGTAACTGATGAAGTATGACTACGTTGATACAGAGCGATCACTTCGGCTGCTTAGCAGCTTAGGTAGGTACCTACCCGCACTTTTCACCCTCAAGAATTACTGGCTTTGGCCCCTCACACTGGCGGATCCTGGGGGGGGTCCACGGGGTCATGACCCCCCCCAAAAGGTCTGAGAGGGTCATTTGACCCCCCCCAAAAGCCGAAGACCTAAATGCGCTATAGACGCCGTCTTGCATGCTCAAAATCACCTGTCAAACACTTCTGAGCTAATACCTTTGTTTTTCTGGATCGTGTTGCGTGAAAAGGCGTATTGAAGACCAGAATCTTACTCGTTTTTGTCTCAACCGTGCGAGCACCAGGGGATGATCCAGGAAAACTCCAAGGGGATGGTCATGAATTTAATTCGTGGTGCCCCTACCTATACGCAAAATTAAAAACTCAACGGATTTCGGTCACTTAATTTTGGTGATGTCCTATTTTCATTTTTTATTTTGTTTGTTTTATTTTTAGTGCCCCTGGGCCCTGGCAGGTCAAAATCACGTCTGAGGCGAAAGAAATTCACGGGAATCCCAAAAATCACGTCAGGACATTCAGGGCCCTCTGACCAGCCTGACAGCTAGGGCCCTTCTTACTTCCTGGGGCCTCCAGTGAATAACCGCTAGTGTCTGTGTCTGACCGCTAGGGCCCCTCTGACTCCTCAGTAGGTAGGAGGCCCTCTGTAGAGGAGGTCCTCTGTAGAAAGGAGGCCCTCAGTAGAGAGGAGGCCCCCTGTAGAGAGGAGACCCCTTTAAAGAGGAGGCCCTCTGTAGAGAGGAGACCTGCTGTAGAGAGAAGGCTCTATGTAGAGAGGAGGCCCTGTGTAGAGAGGAGGCCCTCTGTGGAAAGGAGACCGCCTGAATGCAGAAGGCCCTCTGAAGAGTGGAGACCCGCTGTAGAGAAGAGGCCCTCTGAAGAAAGGAGGCCCTCTGTAGAGAAGAGGCCCTCTGAAGAGAGGAGGCCCTTTGCAGAGATGAGGTCCTCTGGCTCTTTGAAGAGAGGAGGCCCTCTGTAAAGGAGGCCCTCTTAAAGGGAGAGACCCTCAGTAGAGAGGAAGCCCTCTGTAGAGAGGAGGCCCTGTAGCTTCTGTAGTTAAGAGGCCCTGTGAAAAGAGGAGGCCCGCAGTAGAGATCGGTGGTCCTCTGTAGAGAGGAGGCCCCCTCTGTGTTTTGACAAATGTTTTTGCAAATTTTTCGCGGCGCTTCGCGCCGCCGATTTATGTACATACGTACAGGTCAATACGAAATCTTGACTGTAATTACATAAACCAACCGTGTCAAATTGAATCAGAATTCATATGTGTGCTGTAAAGGAACTCCGGCTTGTACTGCAATGCTAAAAGGGTGGTAAAATTTGTGTTTTGGAGCTGTGTTTCGACACATTCTTTTGCAAATTTTCTCGGCGCTTCGCGCCGCCGATTTATACACCAATCAATAAGAGAGAAATAACAGTGACTGTAATAACACCAACCGTGTCAAATTGAATCGGAATTCATATGTGTACTGTGAAGGAACTCCGGCTTGTACTAGCATGCTAAAAAGGTTGTAATATTTGTGTTTTAGAGCTGTGTTTTGACAACTTTTTTTTGCAAATTTTTGCGGCGCTTCGCGCCGCCGATTCATACACAGGTCAATAAGAGAGATCGTGACTGTCTGCTACTATTTACTAATGCATTAGGCTAAAAGTGAGGTAACTATATCTACTTCTGGTTTTTTAAGTCGGTCGACCCGCCTCCCCCCCCCCCCCAGTAAAAAATCCGTGGCGACGCTCCTATATAGGTGGGTTTCACTAACTAAAACTACTGAGCCGAGTGACTTACGATAAAACTTCATCTTATAAACGACGAAGATCAAATGTCATTTTTTGATCTCGACATACTCGCTCCCTACCCCCCCCCCCCCCCCGGTCGTCAGAATTCATTCACCAGACCTGGTATGTCGGCCGACTGGTGACCCCCCCCAAAACGACCCCCTAGATCCGCCCTTGGCCCCTCACTTGCCAGTTATTAGCTGGTTTGTTCAATCATCCAAACAGAAATATCAATACATAGGTGAACATAAGTATGGATAGTTGCCTTTTCAATGACTGACCCAGTGGCATGTATCTTTGTGACACTGTAAATGGGCATAATGTATGTGATAGGTGTTTGTGTGGCCATTCTGCTAGCATTCTTGTGTTCTGAATCTTGATTAGCAGGTCCATGTGTCATTTATAATTATTCTCACTTGCCCTTAAAGGCCAATTACAGTAATTTGAGCTCTATAGATGACAGGTGAAACTAAGTTATTACTTATTGATAAATCTGACACTCGTCACTCAGTGTTAGTCCTCATCCATTCGATAAGCTATCTTTCAGCCAAAAGGCAAGGATAGGTTTTCCCAGGCAGTCTAGTATCTCAGCAACTTTTCTGTTCAACTAAAGGCGATGAGTTAGTGGCTGTGTGCTCATAGAGTCTCAGTCTACAACTAGATCTAGCAGGATTTCATTGTTTTTTAAGGCAATTAATGTATGAGCCAGATTAGTCTGGCTGTACTGGTACCTAGTTCTTTGACTTGATGCTTGTGCTGTATTACCTACTTTATATGGCCTTATGCACTTCAGGATTGACTTGATCATTGTGGGAAAGCTTCCTGCTCAGGATTTTCTTATGATATTTGATAGGAAGTGTTAATACATAAGGCTACTGTATAATTAAAACATAAATTTGTATGTATTTTCTCCATGATCTACACTCCACCTTTTGTCCTTCCTATTTATCATGAAGGCATTATCTTAAGAAAAGCCTCAGAAATATTTTAAGGAGGATTATTTAATTACTATCAGGGAGCCATGTGATCAATGCTGCTATGATAACACTCAAGATCACCAAAATGCATATCCCACAGATCATGCCACAAACAATAATTATCAGTTGATGTTGGCACCAATTTCTAGCTAAGTTGCATTGTGCTAGCAACAGCGTTACAGAATTACCTTTACTTTTGGGGAAATCCAGAGGAATATATTTATCTACATCACTGGAAGGAAGGAATAGTTATTATTGCAAGGCATAGTTGGTAGCAAAGTTTTGTCACTTATATCAATTTTAGAAGGTGTGATAATGGTATTTTGACCTCATGATGCAGATAAACATGATAAATGTAGCTTTATCACCAGGAGCTGTTGATACATACCTAATGTCAAATAGGCACCTTCATTTCTTTTATATTCATGCATACATTCTAACTGCGACACTTTTGCTTGTCAGTTGTCAGGGTACAATGGTTCATTAGAACATGTCTAGAACATGTTAAGTTCATGACATTTGATATTGCAGTTAATCATCATTCACCAGAAATGACCAAAATAATTCCATCCGCGGTGCCCTTAGCTCATGTGGATGTCGCCGCTGACGGAACTGTGCTTCCGATGCGGCGCCCGAAAACTGGCCGGCGCGTCTTCAGCCCAATCCTTCTGCGGTCGTCAGTGTCGATCTGTCGTATATGGCCATTCCATTATGAACGGGAGCGCTCCGATGGCGGTCCGTTTTTGCCCGTGGCGCCCCGCTGTGAGGCGATGGCCAGGCCGTGTCACAGGAGGTTGGACTTGGGATGGTCAGCCGGCGGAGGATCGACTGTCTGTTTGATTACTGACCTACGAAGGTCGTTCTTGGCTATCGACCGTGCTCGAGTCGAAACGGAGGATTCCGAGGTGATAACGTGCCGACGGCCGATTCATTCGGCAGCTGTGTGCAAAAGAAGCACTCGGGTAACTTGCAGCATGACAGGTCGATTTAGCGATTGTGTTTTGTAACCAATGTTTATTTTAAGGGCTCTGCAGCGAGCAATTTTGATGGTTCAGCTGAAACCATTGGTGTGGCTAAAATAAGTATTCTTAACAAGTGGTGCGGAAACTCGGGGAGCTCACTATGGCAGAGCTGGCCCGCATGAAGAGAGTGAGATCGGCGGCTAAAGGATGGCTATCCAGAACCGCTGAGAAAGTTGAGAGTGCACTTTCACCCAAGAGAGAGGAGCCACTGCCTCAAAGTGACCCCTCTCTCCCGGGTTTCGGCACCACTTGTTAAGAATACAAACTCCAAACGAATTATTCTGTCCCTCTCAAACTTGGACTAAGCGGAGAAAAACAACACACGTCCGCACGAGTCGCCATGTCCAGGCCATATATTGCCAATATTCCCAATGTAAACAAAACAAACGTCGCACAAAACCGGCGCAGCGCTTTAGCCGCAAGAAAAAAGGAAGAAACCGGGCGAAGGTCCCGGATGTCGACTAAACTGCTGACAGTTAAATCCACAACAATAAGTATCTGTAGGCACCCGATACTCTTCGCTCATGGAAACTAATTGCTAGTAATTAACGTTCTGCTGACTGATCAACCTTGTTTTATTTTGTTTGATAATTACCCAATGCCATCGTTCGTATTTGCGCAGCTTGTGGATGCCACTACGCCGCTACTGTCAGAGGATGAAGCCTGGAAGTCGCCCTTCAGACACACTCAGTTCATTCATATTTACTGCTTTTCACACATTGAGCAACGTTATCCAGCATATTGTCTTCATTCCACGCCAGTGCAGTGGTTGATTGTCGAAAATCTAAGCTGTTGTTTGAACATTTCACCTCCCTATCTATTTGTCTTGATAGTATCGGGTTGCGTTCATGTTGCGTGCATCGCAGGACCGTAGCAACTTGCAGCCTACATAACTGGTGCACAAACCCATATCCGGCGACTACATCCGGTGGGATGCTGCCCCGGGCCAGCTTTGAGGTCTGTTTCAACTCTGAGACGCACGCTCCGGCTGCGTCGCTCACATGATAGTGATGCAAACCTCACTCGTGCCTCCGAAGGTGCGCAGAAGGTCGGGCCTGGGAGGGCGGGCGCTGTGTCCATGAGCTGAGCCCGAGGTTCATGTTTGCATTGTCGTTCATGAGTTGATTCGTTGGTTCATGAACTGAGCCAAAGCTCCATGAGCCGAGTCCCTAGCTCTTGAGATGAGTCCCTCGCTCATGAGCTGAGTTTCTGGCTCGTGAGCCGAGTCCCTGGCTCATGATCTGGGCATGGTCAATGAGCCATGGTCAATGGGCATTGCGTTATGAGTAGCTACTAGCTTCGTCGATTGGTCTGGTGTGGTTGGAGTCCGACGAAGCCTTGCGGCGAAAAGTTTGGCTTCACAAGGATCATTTATCCACTGCCACCAAAGCAAGGTTACGCACAGGAAGGGAGATTATGAGTTGCTACGCAAACTATCAACATGTCTTGACAGTTCGATAGCGTGGAAATTAGCACACTATGCTGAAATTGCTGATAGACGGGATTTGCTGAATAGATAGCTATCATCGAACGGCGCTAATTTTAAACTATCATGCCTGGTTGATGCCTACTCGTGGGATCTCACCATTCATTTACAGTTGATTAGGGCGCTGAAAGCAAGCGATAGCTGAAGTAGGAAATCGATAGTACAAAAGACGTAACAAAGCGCAATGACTGCACCCCCAATAAGCCCCGGACGGGCTCTCGTTCCGGCACTGTTCCGGGCTGTCCGGCCCCGGTAGGGTCCCGTGGCGCCGGTGGCCGCGCGCCGTGCACCGTTATCTCAGTGTGCGGCGCTGTGAGAGGTGCCTCAGCTGGGCTCGTGCCGGCGCACCGGCCCCGCCCCTCTCCTCCCTCCCCTCCCCTCCCTCCGGCCACACGCGGCGGAGGCGGGCACCTGCGGCCGACGGCAGCCCAGGTGTGCCCGCCGAGCAGTCGAGCGGCAGCGACTGCCTCCGTGGGAGTAAGGACAGTAGAGTAGCGCCGATGACGCGCGATTCACGCTCGTAGTTCGGCCCCGCGGGCGACTTTGGCTGCCGTGCCAGTACCGGACGCCGCCGGAACGACGGAACTGCGAGCGCTTCCGGTCAGGGCCCCGGGCGGCCGAGTGTGGGGAGGGGAAGGGGCGGGGGAACTGTTTGCTAGCGTGTGTAGCGTGAGGGGATTGTGGTGTCTGGGTTTTAGGGTAAATGAGTAAATTAAACCGGCGACGAAGCGCTACAAGTGACACGCCAGCTTCCGGCTGCATTATTTTCACCTGAAGTCCAAAGCCGACTTGAAACAATCGATCGATAGCTTCATGCAGCCTTCATGCTTTTACAGCTAAGGGTAAACTGCGTTGACATGTCACGTCCTGCCCGCTTCCTGGCTGTGACCTTTTTTGACCCCGACTACGCCCGAGACACTTCGGGGCCCTGTTTCACCGGTGATAGCAGCAAGCTACTATCAAATTGCGCGAGCTGACGTAATGTGATGACGTCATACTGCTGACGTAAGGGGCAATTCTGGCGCACGATTGCCGCAATATTGTTTTACGTCATCAGCTAAATGTTCGAAGTTAATGTCCAAATTTTTCCTAAACCCAACTTCTTTTAAATACATCATATTGAAAAAATATATATCAAAAATATATATACTATCATGACTGCGTAAACTCTTACTTTTAGGCTCATACGTCACTTAATGCCGCCGCCAAGGTCGCGGCAATCGTGCGCCGGAACTACCCATTACGACAACAGTATGGCGTCACGACATGACGTCAGCTCGCGAAACGTGATAGCAGCTTGCTGCTATCACCGGTGAAACAGGGCCCGGATATCGCCCGGGCCTCCGCCGCGCTCCGTCCTGATTGGCTGTTACGGGACGGTGGGCGGGGCGTCGTACGCTCATGGGCTCAGCTGTGCGTGGCAACAGGAAGCACCTGCGGGCTACTGGGACTGGGTGGGCGCTGACATGCGTGTTTTCGCGGCGCGGGGTGGATGGTTGTCTGCATTGGCGGTGAAAGATCCATCGGATGGAAATAATTAAGTAGCGGAGTTAAAGTGAGCTTTGGGACATTTTCAGTAAGGTAATGAAAATTGATGAAAAAGTGTTAAATTGCGTTAGTGCGTCTTACTGACTTCAGCCCCTAATTTACTGACGAAATCTTTTTCCTTTGCCATGACGCATCAGTTCGCAAGTGTTGAACGTTCCATTTTTCCCTCTGTCGACTGTTTTGCTATAGACGAAAGATTGTTTGCTGTAAGCAAACGTTTATTAAATACCTGTTGTCGCCCTGTGTGTGTGCTCTAGGAAGTATGTTTATGGGAATTGTTGTCTTGACGCATTTTCTCTGTTCTTTTCAGATCTCCAAACGTGGTGGGAGATTCCGAGTATTGCCCATTTTTGTTCCTTGTTTCGGGCAGCTTTCAACCTCCTTGATTTTGATATAGAGGTAAGTTTATGATCACTAATCGCTATTGGTTCATCATGTTGGCGCGAGTCAGCTTGTCAGGATGGCTAGTTTCCATACCGTAAAGTGGGGCTATTTGAGACAGTGGGGCTATTTGAGACAGTATTTAAAATCGCTATAAAATGAAGATCGTTTGATTTTTGTGTGATATTTTTGCTCAGGGAGGTGTGGAATCGAGCAGTAAATCGCCTGAGCAAAAAATTAAGCATAAATTTTAAGTGGTTTTTATTTTATAGCAATTTTAAATACTGTCTCAAATAGCCCCACTGTCTCAAATAGCCCCACCTTACGGTACTTATGTTGTTACGGAGCGAGCGAAGCGAGCGGAGTCTTTCCTTAGATTAACGGAAATTTCTGAGTATTAGCGACCGGCCGGCCGTGCGGACGCTTTTGCGAGGCTTATATCTCAGCAACCACTTGACCGATTTACATGCGGTAATTTTTGTAGGGTAGCTTCATTCCTTCTGCCAAGTATTGGACTATTCCCGATGCATGTGGGTGACCCCTTATGCGCGTGCCACGTGCAAAACGAAGAGGTGTCAGTTTTGTAATTGTTGCAATATCTCTGTAACTACTGGGCCGATTGCGCTGAAAGTTGGTATGTAGGTAGGCACCCACTAGGCAATGCCTATCCATGTGCCAGAGTTTGGGTGCTGCTGCACGTGCGCACGTGCAGGGATCGTTTCCAGATCTCGAGAACGGCTCGATCGATTGCGCTCAAATTTGGTACACAGTTAGGGACCGGTTAGTAAGGTGCGGTGCAAAAGTCAGTCGGAACCCATTTTGCACGTGCGCACGTGCAGGGTGTCGCTTCCAGATCTCGAGAACGGCTGGGCCGATTGCGCTCAAATTTGGCACATCGCTAGAGAGTAGACCGGTTAGTAGGGTGCCGTGCACAAGTCAGTTTGAGGTACCCCCTCGCAATTTTGCACGTGCAAGGCCCACCCTCTCGTTCGCTCCGTTAGTCGCCCCAAAAGGCGTTATACTGGTATTTACTTATTTTGTGTACTTATTTTGTGTGCTTATTTTGTGTACTTGTTTTGTATGTACTTATTGTGTGTACTTATTTTGTGCGATTAGACTCGTAAGGCACCTGAGGGTATGTGATGGTAGGGATTTGCACAGGTGATCTGACTAACTGGTTGGTGGGGTCTGTCGTTCCTTCGCCATTTATAAGAGGTCCGTTGGACCCCCCCCTTGCCGTTTGGCCCCTGATCGAGCTAGAGCTGTGCGGAAAAAACGAGCGTGTTGCCCATGACGAGAGGAAGCTGATGCTACCCAATTTTAAGGTCCTAGGTCATTCGTTGACCTTCCAGATCAGGTCAATGACCCAAAAATCGGGGAAAATCGGGCCCTGTCAGAGCTTCGTGAAGTGTGGCTGGTATGGGGTTATTCGGGGTACCTGACCACGAATATCATATTAGTTTTGATTACAGATGCTGTATTTAGGCCCGGTTGGATCAGGTCAGGTCAGGTCAACCAGTAGGGGTCCTGCCGGGTATTCGTAGTAGGAGCCAACCGCCTCTGACAGCTTCGTAACCTGTTACTAAGGCACCAAAAGTACTTCGTCAATGTTCAAATGGTTGATTAATTCGAATTCAGCTCCAAAAGCTAGCTTAGAAACATGTAAAACTTGTCAAAGTAAACCGAAAAGGCCAGTGACTTGACCTGACCTTCAGGAGACCTTGACACCCACCCCAATGCATGGAACCACCATCATATCACATGTTTGAACGCTTGAAACCACGAAGACTGCAAACGCGCGCGAGCCGACATACGCCGCATCGCGATTCCGGCCAAACATGGTCTCGAGAAATAGAGTCATAGGTCAAAGGTCATTTGGGTCAGGGTCATGAAATTTTCAGGGTATGTGTAAAATTGATTAAGTCGAGGGTACTGTAAATATCTTCGTGATCGGCCGTTTTTATGCGAGTTATTCGCGAAAAACCGAGGGGGTCAGTTAACCCCCCCCCCCTATACGGGCGAGGGTAACCCCCCTCTATACCCCCTCACGCCGTCCCATTAGAAGCACTCCTTGTGCTTCTAATGGGACGGCGTCGTAAAACAATTAGGTAGCACGATATGTCGTGATCTCTTTTCTTATGCGTATGCATAGTGGCGTTGATGCACTTGTATCATTCTTGGTAGACATTCTTGGCATTTTCGTGACCGTGAATTTCTAGGACCGTTGTTTGGTCTAACTTTGGGCCGTGTGGGTAACTTTGTTCCACGAGGAAAAAAATGGCTAAATTTTAATCAGCTTAATACCTATGCGCGAGAAATGGCATTTTTGGGCCGGAACCAATGAAGTAGTCAATGATAAACCCAGGGACACAAAAAATACGTCATCATGTCGATTTTGGATTTTCTAGATTTTTTTGGGTGAAGCTCCTTTTTTTCACCCAATATTAAGGTTTAGGTAGGTCCCTGTACGGGGCTCAGATGCTACCAGCCGAATCGACTTTTGCAATTTGCCTGAATAGGACATCATGTGAACTTTGCATTCGACTATTGGTAATTTATTTTCCTCAAACATTTTTTTTTTTAAATTTGGGGGTGGTCAATGTTTATACATATTTTTTGCCGTTAATTCAATAACTTTGGGCCACCCGCAGGAAGGGTACACCATATGATGAAGACACCATATGACACCATATGATGAAGAGGGTCGTCGTGTCGTTCGTTGTGTTCCGTGCCTTTTATTGTGTGTGGTTCGTCGCGTCGTTGGTTGTGCGTAAATGTCCCAGCGGGATACGTAAGCGACCTACAGTCATGATGGTGTGCATCATCCCGTGACTATGTTTGTACAGTGTGTCTAAAAAGAATGTACCGTCGCCACCACGTGGCGCTGGTGTCGCGAGCCGGTAGTTGGCTGAATCCGCACCAGACCACACATTCCCAGGCGCTAGGTGACAGCTGCGCAGCGGCCGGTAGTAGCGTAAGCCCGAACCTTCGTGACACGACCCCGGGGGGGGGGGGAGTGAGGGGAGCGGGCGGGGCAGCGCGTGTAGGGAGGGGTGCTCCAGCAAGCTGGCAGTTGTCGCGGCCAAAGGTCAAGGGGTCACACACCAAGCGAACGGACGCTGATGTGGGTTCGTGGGGATCATGAACTTGTGTGTGGTAGGTGCGTCTTGCGATGCACGGGTGATACGCCAGGTTTAAGCCAAAGGATTCAGGGGAGAGCTGAAGAAAACACCTGGTCAACTACGGCGAATAATAGTGCTGAAAAATGGAAAGTATGGGTCAATGCAAGCCTTCATGACTATAAACAACTTTCTGATGACGCAAAGGCCAGCATTGAATAACGATATCCGGATCGAAATTAGCAATGATTTATAATTAAATGCCGAACTAATAGCGCTGCAAAGTAAATTGTCAAGTCGATTTATACCCACTTGGATTAAACTATCCTAAATAAAATTGTTAATTAACTTTCTAACACTGACGTTCTTTATCATACGATAAGTATGGGGTTAACCAAGATTCAGCATCTTCCGCGTTCAAACAATCACCTGTAAGGCTAGAACATTAATGGCCAGGTAAAAACATGGTCGGGATTTGATTAACCGGATTATAAGTCGATTTTTTTAGTCGGGATTTGATAAGTCAGATTTTTTTACGCCAACCGCATTTTTAAGACAAGTCAGGTCACTGATATATGACGTCATAAATGAGCAGTCCTAAAATGAACTGTGTGAAACTGTCCTAAACTGTCCTCAACATTTTAGGACTGTGTGCACGCTCCTAAAATGTTCAACTTCGCTACACCCTCAGTGCAGAGCTTTCATAGGGAGATGAAACTTACAGGATCTTATAGTATGATCGAGAGTCTCACAACTTGTATAAATGTATATCTCGGATTTTCTGAAGGGTCGCCTGAGATCAGGTCAGTCTCTCACCATTAAAAGTCAGGGGAATATGGAAATTGCTAGTTTGGTCCGGAAATGATATACAACTATCTCAAATTTTCAAGCACACGGAATCGTGATTTCATGCGCTCCTTGCAAGGTCTGATGCTTTAATTTTGCTTTGTTGATCTTGCGTGACGTCATTTATCACGTAACCAAGGGTATCAGTTTTTCGTCAATAACTCCCGATCAACTAAAGCTAGCGAGTCGATAAAGCCACTAATGGACATGAAAAGACCTGCCGAATCGATTGATATGCAATATGACCTTCTTTGACCAGCTTCGTGACCTGACGGGCTGTGACCTGACCTTGACCCGAGGTTAACACCTTAACTCTCGCCCATATTGGTGTTTTTCCAGCCGCAAACGTATAAGGGGGGGGGGGGGTCCGTTGGACCCTCCCTTGCCGTTTCGCCCCTGATCGAGCTAGAGCTTCGCGGAAAAAACGAGCGTGTTGGCCGTGACGAGAGGAAGTCGATGATACCCAATTTTAAGGTCCTAGGTCATCGGTTGACTTTCCAGGTCAGGTCAATGACCCAAAAGTCGGGAAAATCGGGTCTGTTAGAAAGTCGTAAAGCGTGGCTGCTATGGGGTTTTCGGGGTGCTGATCACGAATATCATGTTAGTTTTGATCACAGATGATGTCTTCATGCATTTAGGCCAGGTCGGGTCAGGTCAGGTCAGGTCAACCAGTAAGGGTATTCGTAGTAGGTGGCAACCGCCTCTGACAGCTTCGCAACATGTTACGAGGGCACCAAAACTACTTCGTAAATGTTCATATGGCTGCTAAATTCGAATTCAGCTCCTAAAACTGGCCTAGAAACATGTAAAACTCGAAAAAGTGAACCGAGGTCATCAAAGGTCAATGACCTGACCTGACTTTCCGGTGACCTTGACACCCACCCTAATGCATGGAAGCAACATCATATCCCATGTTTGAACGCTTAAAACCACGAAAAAGACTGCAAACGCGCCGCTAATGCGAGCCGACATACGCCGAATCGCGATTCCGGCCAAACATGGTCTCGAAAAGTAGGTCGCAGGTCAAAGGTCATTAAGGTCAGGGTCATGACAGTTTCAGGGTGGATGTAAAATTGATTAACGCGAGGGTAACGAAAGTTTAATCGCGATCGGCCGCTTTTTACGCGAGTTATTCGCGAAAAACCGAGGGAGGGGGGTCCGTTCGACCCCCCCCCCCTATACGGGCGAGGGTTAAGTTGATCTCACCCGAAGAAAAAGTGTACCATTCGACACGCCTGAGCTAGACAAACACGATGCTGCTAAAATCGCGGATCTGCGATCATTTTTAGCGAAGTTATTTACCAAAAACCGAACCTGTGCCTTGGGCCACTTGACCTGACATCCGAAGTCATCGGCTGACCCTGGTCCTTAAATCGGAGACCAATCGCTGCATTTCGTAACGACGCACACGATCGTTTCTTTCGTGAGGCTCTAGCTCAATTAGGGGCGAATCGGCGAAGGGGGTTGTTTCCTCACTTCCAACCCCCCAACGTCCCTCGGTATTCAGAAAACCTGAAGGTCCGGTGAGGGTTAAAACGTTTCTCCTGAACGAGGAAGAAATGTAGAAGTCAAAGCTCTATAGACGTCCTGTAAAAGTGGCCATAATAATAAATTCGTTAGAAATAAGATGCTTTTTAAACGACTTCCTCATATAAAATCGGGTGCTGGGACCAATCTTATAAACGCTTTAGAATGGACAGGGCGTCACTGGCTAAAGTTTGGGTGCAGAAAACGGCTATTACCTAAATGCAAAATGGTTTTCATGCATTTCAGTCAATTGTATATTGTCGGTCCCAGTGGCCGAGCTAAAAAAAAAAAAAATCGGTAGTGTTTTGCATCTTTTACGCCCTAAGAAACTACACCATCTATCGAAGTGGGCGGGCTTATTTGAATGGGAGGGCGCATTATGCACGAATCGAACTGCTTTCGTTTATTTTGGACTGTATTTTACCACATCCACTGCTGGTATCACTATTAATATTATCTAATGCCGTGAATACGACAGCATTCCATTTATAAGATTGGGCCAATGGAGTCGCGCCCCGCGAGCTCGGTTTTCCGCTGGGCCGCTACAGGCCAGGAAGTCGGTCTTCGCCTGAGGGCAGGACAAAGGTCAGCGAGGGAGCGCGGGGTCAGCCAGGTATCGCCAAGTGCCGAGCGGATGCCGCTCCCTCCCCTCTCTTCCCCTCTTCTCCCCTCCCCACCTCGGTATAGATGGGGAGGGACCGAACTGCCAATGACATGCGAGCGGTCAAGGCCGCTCGCGCGGCAGCGACCCTGGCGGCCGGATGCCGCAACTGGGATTCAGCCAAGTTGCCGATTCGCCTCCTGTGGGAGAGCCAAACCAGGGGACATACTTTTTAGATATACTGTACAATGTACAAGTTTGCTGTTCCTTTTTTAAAAGCCCCTAAGTGGACCAATGTATCCATAACGACCGCTAACATTGATACTTTTGGCTTTTCCATTGTTTTATTGATGCATTTATTCATATGGTACAAAGTTATTTTTGTGCGGGTAACATTGTGCCACTCTAATTTCAAAAAATAAATTATATGTCATTATCCAAAAAAATTAAGAGTGACTATAGGTGACCAGCAGGGATGTCACTGCCTTACTGCACAATTTCCTGAACAATTAACAAAATAATTTGGAAGTAATACGAAGAAAAGTCAAAAACTGGTACAAAGTTAGGCCAAACAACGGGATCGTCTTTGTTATGTAATGGGACCTGGCGAAGTCACTATGTAGTAAAACTTTACTTCATTATTCAGCAAAGTTGACGAGCGCACGAATGCCCTTTCCAAAATCCGTTTTAATTTGGCGCGGCGCTCAGCCATGTGTCCCGACTTTCCAAGACGGAGTCGCTCTTAATTGTCTGATGCAGGTCTTAAAATGGTACGGCTCTCGCGAGATTAAGCGGTAGGTTTTGCACTTTTACATTTCCGGTTATATCTCAGAAACTAATCGATCTACGATTAAGCCATTTTACACGTTCATGGCCGGCTTGTTACCCAACAAGTCGATCGCGTCTTCAACACTTAAAAGCTTAAGACGACGAAGATATGGCCTGAAGTACACTACATTTTCTAGGTGCAAAACCTACCGCTAAAACCCGCGAGACCTGTCGTCCATTACCGGTAGCGTTGTTCGGTCGGCGTGGCATAGAAAACAGCGGTGCTGTTCAAGCTAATGTAACGTCACAGTGCTGAGACCAGTGACAAGACAACATCCGATTTCATATAGTAAATGTTATGTTGTAACCACTATCGAAATTTTACGTTCATTGAATATCTTCCGTACTTAAGTCCCGTTTTCTCTGGTGTAACTGACAGTGCATTCTGGCCGCGATTTGCCGTCGACATTTCCCATGCACGTCATCCCACTGAACGGGTCCGTGCGCCGCCAGGACTTGGAGCAGGGCCTGTTGGCGGAGCGAGACGAGTCGCCGCTGCTGCAGCAGCTGCTGGTGCGCCTGCTGCAGGGATGCCTCCCAGAGTATGACGTCTCCGTGCACAACTGGCAGCACTACCTGAGGCGACTGCTCAAGTTCAAGTGCTTGGTGAGTTACCCTTACCAACCGCGGTGACCAATTCGTGTCGGCGGCGCTCGAGTAATCGATAGGCGTTTATCCACGAGTTTGTTTATTTGTTTTACACGAAAATAGTATCAGTGACTGCCAATTTATGTATTTAATCAAAAGTAGCGTCCCGTTTGTTGTTATTTTCGGGCATTTCATGCGGATTGAACGGCAATAATGCATCCCACGGACAGTCAGTTGTGGAACTATAATTGCTTCTGAGAGCTGTTGATGCCACAGAACACCGATGGCGCCCCGTGAGGTCGTCCCCTGACGAGTTTTTGTGTGGCGTGTGTTCCAGGAGGACCCCACCATCGCCAACCCGCTGGGTGAGACGGGCGACTTTTATGACCTGTCGCTGCGCACACGCGTCACCGTCCTCCAACTGCTCTGCGACCTGCGTTTGGAGGCAGAGGACGTGATCGACCTTCTCAAGGTGGGTGGAAAGTCCTGGTAGAGCTGGGGGATTATCCTGACTGGTAGGGTTCAGTGGGCTGTGGGTGGAAGCTTGGGTTTTATGTCAAACTGTTGATGTGTGGAAAGCCTGGACGTGGTCTATACGACCTGTTGGTTTTTCATTCACTATAACAGCGCAATTTTCTTTTTGTTCTCAGAACCTTGAGGCGGACAGCCTGCGAGTCGAGCCTTTGGGTCACGACGACTGCGGTGCCACCTATTGGTATTTTTATGGAACTCGCCTCTATAAAGAGGTAAGTCTGATGCTGCGGGTTACGGACAAAAGTACGTATCGCTAAAGTACGTAGGACAAAAGTACGTAAGCAAAAGTACGTAGGATTTAAGTACGTATCGCAGAAGTACGTACAGTATAAAGTACGTATGGACAAAAGTACGTCAGGGACAAAAGTACGTATCGCAGAAGTACGTACAGTATAAAGTACGCATGGACAAAAGTACGTCAGGGACAAAAGTACGTATCGCAGAAGTACGTATAGTATAAAGTACGTATGGACAAAAGTACGTCAGGGACAAAAGTACGTATAGCTAATGTACGTAGGGTAAAAAGTACGTATGGACAAAAGTACGTCAGGGACAAAAGTACGTATCGCAGAAGTACGTAGGGTATAAAGTACGTACGGACAAAAGTACGTCACGGACAAAAGTACGTATAGCTAATGTACGTAGGGTAAAAAGTACGTATGGACAAAAGTACGTCACGGACAAAAGTACGTATGGCAGAAGTACGTAAGGGTATAAAGTACGTAAACGTATGGACAAAAGTACGTCACGTACAAAAGTACATATAACAAATGTACGTAGGGTATAATGAAGGATAAAGACGCAAGGTAAAGACCTTGGGCAAGACGCCCCAGATAATCTATTTTGCTACATAGGCCTACCAGGCCTACCTAAATTTTGTGCTACATCACCTGGAAGGCCAAATTTGTACTCAATGTGTTCTTTGGACATTTTACTTTAAATTCCACCCCTCAAATTCATTCACTTATGATCGGACTCCCAGCTAGGAAGTGATTTGTGAAGCAACTGCAAATGGGACATTTTGCCCCAACCCCAGGGCAAAACGCCCCACGGCCTGAGGCAAGAAGCCCCATACTCTAGAGTCTAGCTTAAAGATTAAACATGGTAGTTGGCTAAATCTTATATGAGAGATCCGTTAGACCGCTGGAGGCACGGCACTGAAGTTAGCACCTTCCATCCTATCAGGTGTTCAGCTATGACACTATTGTATGAGCAGGTTTTTCACGTGCCTCATAAGGCCAAATAATAAATTATTGCAATGCAAATCAGTTAACAATACACTTCCTTTGCCATACAGTTGCTGAGAAAAATACATATAAATGCATAGAAACTTGCTGTTCGCCAGCTACCGAACATTAGGAAGTGGGTAGTCCGAACAACACATGAGGTAAAACGCCCCATGGGGCTTTTTGCCCCGCGACCTACTGGGGCGTTTTACCCCATCATGTAGTTCGGTCAGCGAACAACGCCTTGTGCTCCAGCAAGACATAATTTAACACGAACCAACCCGGCATTATAAGCGTTAGACAATAGTTGTTCAAAATACATAAAAGTCGTTAACCTGATGTGGACTACAAAAGAACGCGAGGATGCATAATCAGATGACCAAACATAAAAATCACTAAAAAAACAACACATTTTTGGCTATATCTCCCAGAGAGTTATCACAATTTCTTTCCAGAATGATCATATAGTGCACGTTTAACAGAAGAGAGGACCTTTCCCCAGAACCCTATCAGTTCCGAGAGATATCGGTGAGGCCGCCAGGCGTTTTACCTCGGCGGGGCGACTTGCCCCGGTCTACCCTACGTGTGGACCAAGTACGTCACGGACAAAAGTACGTATAGCAAATGTACGTAGGGTATAAAGTACGTACCCCACCCATGGGGTAAGTTGATCAATGTGTAATACCTTTCTTATTCTTTATTTAATGAGCATTTGTTACAAGGCATAGCAAAATTTCTCGATGAGTAAATGGGCGAAAGGAACAAAGCTATATTATTTGGTACCTATATGAATTTATCATGAGTTCCCTATAGTATGGCAAGAGGGCAGCAATAAAGAAAAAGTGGCTCAACTTACACTACTATACCCTACTTCTAGCATACGTACTTATACACTACGTGCTTTGGCATACGAACCGTACGTACTTTTGGCATACGTACTTTTTACACTACGTACTTTTTCATACGAACTTTTGCGTACGAACATTTGCGTACGTACTTTTGGCATACGTACTTTATACACTACGTACTTTTGCAAACGTACTTTTGCGTACGAACATTTGCGTACGTACTTTTGGCATACGTACTTTATACACTACGTACTTTTGCATACGAACATTTGCGTACGTACTTTTGGCATACGTACTTTTTACACTACGTACTTTTGCATACGTACTTTTGCGTACGAGCATTTGCGTACGTACTTTTGGCATACGTACTTTATGCACTACGTACTTTTTCATACGTACTTTTGCGTACGAACATTTGCGTACGTACTTTTGACATACGTACTTTATGCACTACGTACTTTTGCATACGTACTTTTACGTACGAACATTTGCGTACGTACTTTTGGCATACGAACTTTAGCGCCTACGTATATTTGCGTACGAACATTAGCATACGTACTTTTGTCCTACGTACTTTAGCGATACGTACTTTAGTCCTAAAATCCTGATGCTGCAGTGGTCTCCCCTTACTCATGTATAATTTTTGTCATTAGGAGCAATCAATCATATTCAGCGAAGTTAACCTGATCTTTTTCTAGAGCATGATGCTGTCGCAGTTTTGTGAGGATTCAGCACACCACAATAATTTCTTTGTATTTTCATTTTTACACAGTTTCGAAGGGATTGAGTCATAGTTTCATGCACCTCATTCAGGTTTCCATCTTTGACATGATTGTGTTCGAAGAATGACATCTCATTTCTGGTTACTCCTATTTCCCCGCTATTCGTACGAGAATCAGCGCTTCATCACTGACACCGCTCTCTCCACCGTCTGCAGAGCGGCGGGGACGAGAGCGCCGGCCGGCCGGGCTGGCAGTGCGTCTGTGTGTCGGCCGATGACTGGCGGGCGCTGGCCGACTCGTACAGCGGCTCCCGGTCGCCGCTCGAGCTCGAACTCTACCACACTCTGAAGGAGGACTTCCTGCCGGAGATACCGCGGCTCTTCGCGCAGAAACAGAAACTGCAGGCGAGTTTGAGAGACGGGCGGAGGTTGTTGTAGTGGACGGAAGAGGTGGGCGGGACCGCAATAACCTATACAGTATGTGGTATGTGGTATGCTGAGAGTTCGTCTACTAATTTAAATGATACAAAGTCAATTTATGTGGTGCAGACTAGGGTCGCGGTAGGTCTTACATCTCAATTAATATTTTACTTTACATTCGGATGTTTACACGTTCTTGATGTTGTACTGCAGTCATCTAACGCGGTTATGTTCCGCCAACAGAAGAAGCGCCAGCTGGAGATGGGCCCGCGACGGCAGTCGTCTCGAGGAAGGACGGCCGACCCCGCCTCGCCCGAGTCTGCGCCGTCGCCCACGCCGCCGCCGGCCGCCCCCGCCCCCGCCCCGCCGGTCACGCTGGCCCAGAAGGCTGGCAAGGGCATCCGTAAGGGCAAGGACTCACCGGCCGAGTCGCCCCGCAGGGAGAAATCCGACGTCAAAAAGCCGCCCGCGTCGCCATCCGTCTCCAAACGAGACAGGAATGAGATTAAAGAATCTTCGGGGTCGGCGAAGAAGGATAAAGATTCAAAGAAAGCTGCAGCTAAACTCAAAGAAGATGTTAAAAAGTCACCCGTCTCAGCATCGCCCAAGCGAGATAAGTCCTCCGCAAAGAAGGCAAAGAAAGAGGATATTGACGATAGTAATGTTGCGGTGGATGTTAAATCCTCGGCTGCTTCTAAGAAGCAAGATAAATCTGAGGCAAAGAAGCCAGTTGCACCGGAGAAGTCTGTGCCTAGCAAGAAGCATGATAAGTCTGCGAAACGAGACAAGAGCGACTCCAAGAAGCCTGTGGTACCATCTCCGAAGCAGTCGAAGGGCGACTCCCGACGGCCGTCTCTGGTCAGCCAGGCGTCTCTGGACTCCTCCCTGTCAGACGCGGTGACTCCCACCGCCCCCGCTGCCGCCGCGGCGCGGCCGACATCCGGGAGCAAACGGTCGCGGCCCGACCAGCCGGAGAAGCCCAAGAAGCGGCCCAAGGAGGAGATGGTGGAGGTGGACTCCGAGGAGGAGAGGGAGGCAGAGCGGGTGCGGCGTGACAAGGAGAGAGCCGAGCTGGAGATGGCAGAGCGGGAGAAGGAAGAGGCGTGAGTACACGGGGCGATGGGAGAGCGAGGGGGTAGATGGCAGGAACATCTTCAGGGGTAATGGGAAATATCAATCTGTCTTAGTCGGCGGCCCTTGAAATCCGCAAGCCAGCAGTATTGTTGCATTAGTTTTTGTCTTTTACAATTAGTAAATGTTTATCAGAATAAATATGATACTGCCCTAGTTGCATGCGACTTGGTTAGCTTTCTACTGAAAACTGACCCAGTCTTTCCTCATTTGGCATTGCGTTGAAAAGTCTTTCGTCTTCTGATTAGTCCAGTCCCTGACCTCTGGTCCCGTTTCAGCTTCATTCGTCGCGCGATCGCCATGATCGAGGCCCGCGAGGTGGGCGCTGCCGGCGGGGACCGGCGCCGCGGCCGGGACTCGCGTCGACGCTCCACCAGCAGCGGCGGAGGGGGCAGCGCCGGCGGCGGACAGAAGACCACCTCGGACCGGCGCCGTCCGCGGCGGAAAGAGCCGCGGGCGCCGCCGCCCGCGCCCGCCCCGGCCCCGGAGCCGCCGCCGGCGCCCGCCAGACCGCCAGTGCCCACCAAAGCGTCGCGAAAGTACATCAGTGACAGTCTGTCTGAGAGTGAGAGTGCGAAGGAGAACAAACTGGTGCGTCCGCCGCCGCCGCCGATATCCGACTCTGACGACTCGGACGCGCCGGCGCCGGTGAAATCGGCGGCGCGGAAGGCGAGCCGGCCGCGCAAACAGCCGCAGAAGAAGAAGCCGGCCGGGTCCGACTCAGACGGGGAGGACGACCGGCGGCCGCCGCGCGACCCGCTGCGGGACGACTCGAACGCTGCGGCTGCGGGCGGCGAGCGGCGCTTCGTGGGCCGGCGCACCAACAACTCGCTGGGCTCGCTGACGGAGCCGCTGTCGGCGCTGCCGGAGCCGGAGTCGGAGGAGGCGCCGGCCAGCAGTGCTCCGCCGCCCACCCCCGCCACCGGGAAGATACGGAGCTCGGCCAGGTGAGACAAGGGGAGATCGGAGGGAGCAGCCTAGGTCCTGGGGGAGATATGGACAAGCTGAGAGGGAGATCGTGGAGACAGGACAGGTGTGGCCTGTATAGGTGGGGTGAGCTATCGAGTTGTTAGGGAGTTCGGGGAGACAACTAGGTGCGAGTTGTGAGCTGGGTAGGCGGTAGCTGGGGTAAGATAATGAGATGTGGACGAACTGGTAGGGATGCTGGGGAGATAGTGTAAAATGGGTAGCCTGAGGGTGGGATATCGACGAGTCGTGAACGAGATCGGGGACTAAGGTATGGGAGTTATGGCACGATGGGTGAAATTGAGTCGAGGCATGTTTAGTGATGTAGGTATGTGAACCTCCAGCCCACTGAGTCGATACGCTTTCGTTGATATTGAATATTTGTGGTTACTTGCGGACAATCTCGGATGCGACGCATTTCGCCCATGGCTGCCCGACTTGTTCCGTTGCGTTTCCTTTTCCATCCCGCTTTGCTTATTAACATCTCGTTCTACAGTCTTATGGCACATGTTTTGTTAGTCGTCTCTGCCACCACACGCCACCGGTGGCTGACCGCCCTTCCACCCTTCCCGTCCCGTCAGCGTGCTCCACACGGACGAGGAGCTGCGCGTGGGCATGTACAAGGCGCTGGAGGCGGTCAAGGCGCACGAGGAGGCCTGGCCGTTCCTGGACCCGGTCGAGGAGGAGTACGCGCCCAATTACTACGCCGTCATCCGCCGGCCGATGGACCTCAACAAGCTGGAGAGCAGGCTCGACGCCGGCGTCTACCAGACGCGCGAGGCGTTCGAGGCCGACTTCAAGCTGATTGTCGACAACTGCAAACTCTACAACGGCCTGGAGAACGGTGAGGCGATGGTGCGGGGCGTAGTTTTACTGAGATGAGGGAATTGGGTCTTCTTTGCTCATGCATTTGTGTAGGTTTAGTTTTGCGTGTTTGGTGGGACTAAGTAGCTTCATTCCCACCTGCCATGCTTTTTCGACAGGATCGGTAACTGCTTTGGGAATAGGTTTGTGGGATTGTTAGTCTTATCGTGTCAGACATTGTGATATTTTTTCACATTCGATGACGACACAAAAGCAAATATTCTAAATAGCCACGCTTTATTCATCGAATGTGCATAAATATCACATTATTAGTCTTGTTCTGTGTGAGTGTTTTACAATTTACATGACTCCTTATACTTTTTATATTTTGCTTTGACGCAGAAGTTGAATGAAGCCAATGCGAGTGCGTGTATCTCTAGCCCATCAGTCCATTATTTTGCCTGGTGAATTCCTGTCTCCTTGTTGAAGGCTGAGAAGTTTTCCTCTCAAGGTCCTGCCTAAAAGCCTTCATCTTGCGAATGTCCTCCATTCTCCTACGTTCAAGTAAGTCCACTGTCTCCAGATATATGACAAGATTTGTAGCATGTATTGTCATATGAAAATGTGTTACCTGGTGTGTTGGTGCATTTTACTTTTCGTAAGAGCTGCTCAGCTTTCCATGCCTGCATCTAGGCGCATTTAGCGAATAACTGGCAGATTATTGCTGTTTAGAAATTCAAGAAGGTAAACTATGGATGAAAATGTCACGATATATTTGTTGTAAATGCGTTGAGATTGACTATCCCAATGTCAGTAGCCGCCCCTGTCTTGTCCCAGCCGTCCCGCTGACGGCGCCGCCTCTCTCCCGTTGCAGAGTACACGGAGATGGTGGTGAACATTGAGCGCGAGTTCCGTAAGGCCGTCCACAAGTACCTGGATATTGAGGAGGAGGATGGCGAGGAGATACTTATCGACGTCTCCCAGGTGCAGTCCAAGCAGAGGCGCAACTCGCGCTCGCCACGACCGGCCACCTTAGCCGTCGGCAAGAAACGGGGCCGGAAACCCAAGGCGGCGGCCGGAGACGGCGTCGGTAAGGGCCGCGGAAGGAAGAAGAAGCAGCAGATGTTTATTGATTACAGTGATGACGAGCTGCTGAGCTCTCCGCGGTCCAAGCCGCCGACAGCAGAGGATACGGAGAGATTGTTTGATGATCTGTTAAAGACCACCTCGTCGCCGCCGCGCGTCTCTACACCGCCGAGAGCGGCTGAGGATCTGTCAAAGAAGAAGAAAAAGAGCAAGAGCCGCCCGCCGCCGCCGGCGCCCGAGCCTGAGCCGGAGCCGGCTGAACCGCCGCCAGAGAAGGTCAAAAAGCCGTCCAAGGCTACCAAACGCGGCAGCAGCGGCGGTGCGGCGGCCGCCAAGCGGGCGGCCGAGCGGCAGCAGTCCAAGCCGATAGACAGCGACGTCTCTGACATGGACGACGACTCGTTCCACGACGGCCTGGCCGAGATGAGCTCTCGGCGGCGCGGCCGCACCGCCGCGCCCCCGTCCCCGGCAGCACCGGCGCCGCCCCCGTCACCCCCGCCGCCGCCGCCACCGCCGGCCGCCGCTGAGTCGGACGACGACGATGATGATGATGATAGCGAGAGCGGTTCGCCCAAGAAAATCATCGCCCAGGGTCGCATTTTCGCATCCAAGATGAGACGGAAGAAGGCTGCCGAGCGGCAAACTGCCCCCGTTAAACCGACGCCGCCCAAACCTCCCACGCCCAAGGCGGCGCCGCCGAAACCGTCGTCCCCGAAAGTGGCGCCGCCCCCGCCCAAGCCGGCCCGCCAGCCGTCGCCGGAGAAACAGCAGGCAAAGCGGGAGCGTAGTCGGCATCGGTCCGATTCCGAGGAGCCCGACCGGCCGGGGACCAAGAACAAGGACAAGGGTAGCAAGCGGTCGAGGTCGCAGAGCAAGGACAAGAAGGACAGTAAGCGGAAGAAGAGGAAAACGCACGGGAAGGAGAAGAGGAGTCACTCGCAGGCCAGCCCGGAGAAGGATGAAGATGAATTAGTGGTGAGTACACGATCGATGCGGCTTAGTAGTAATTGGCTCGCAGATCTAATTGACAGCTCAGTGGTAATTAAAATCAATTAGGGACGATGTGCATATTGTCGCGTCGGCGTGCGGCCGCTGGGGGTCAGGGGAGGATTGGGTCACCAGTGGCCCTTGAACGGGTACCTAGGAACTTTGGCGTGTCGTTTCATAATCTTGTAGCTAACATAGTATAATGTTTATTGTAGATTATTGGGTCTGGCTCTACAATGGGTTTAGAGTGAGACGACACTTTTGCTGTTGCTTCAAGTCTCAATTTAATGCTTATAGCGCTAACCACAACTAATGAGAGGGCATGACAGCTAGTCTGTCCACTGAATGTCGTGATTTATCGATGTTTCACCTTTCTGGCGCATCTTGTCGAGCCTGAGAGGGACCCAGCGCCCTCTGTTTTGATTGCCGACTGCGCCAAACACAGCATGTTCCACTCCCTGTCCCACATGCTGAGTTCTCCTATCTCCCTGCTGTGGAGTCCCGTCGTTGAATCCCTCTTTCTCTATTTTCAGGCTCCAGCCAGCCCCCGCCCGGCCACGCCTCCGTCACCGGCCCGCTCGCCGCCGCCGCGGAGCGCCGAGCCAGAGCTGGACGATGACGAGTACGCCACGCTGCCCGAGCCACTGCCCGAGAGGCGCCGCTCCGAGTCTGGCTCCGACGCCGAGGACGAGCTGAAACCCAAGGAGAAACGCCGAGACCGCATTCGACCGCAGGACATCATGCGACAGAAGAACGCATCGATGAAGGAGAGTTCTGACAGCAAACAGGCCAGCAAGCCGAAACCGCTCTTCAACAGTAGATCCATCTCTAAAGAGGAGAACGCGAAGCTAGGCGAGTTAATATCGCGGGTGCGTGAGTCGCGCGGTGGCGGTGCCACGCTGCTGTCCAACGGGCCGGGACTGACGATGGGGAAAGTGCTGGGAGGGCTCTCGGACAGGGACAAGTCGGGAGAGGAGGTCTGGGAGGAGCTGGTCGGTAAGCGGCTGAAGGCGGAGCCGACTCTGCCGTCCCGGCGGCGCAGTGCCGAGGATGACGAGCCGCTCCGGCTCATCGCCGAGCCGGAGGAGGGCCAGGAGCTGCCCGTGCTGAAGAAAACGGCCACTCCCAACCTGCGCGCGTGGTTCACCGCGTTCCGCTCCAAGAAGGACGCCGAGCCCACACCGCCGCCGACTCCGGCCCCCAAGGTGAAGAAGCCGCCTCCGACACCGCAGCGGGAGGAGACCAAGACGGTGAAGCCGCCGGCGACTCCCTCGGCGGCGTCCTCTTCGCCGAAGGAGGCAACAAAGAAGACGGAGGCGACGAAGGACTCCGTCAAGGAGAAATCCCCTCCGGCCTCGCTGGCGTCGCCGGGGGCGTCTGCCTCGGCGTCCGCCGCCCGCGAGGAGCCTCCAAAGTCAGACTCGCCGTCGACGAGCAGTTGGAAGGCGCGCGCGGGCTCCCCACAGCCGCCCGGCCCGCCGCCCGATTTCCAGTATGATGACGATGAGTTGGAGAAGGCTCGTCTCCAGGTGAAGGCCCGCGAGGCGCAGCGACTGGAGAGCGAGAAGCGCCGGCTGGAGTCTGCCAACTCGCAGTCCCCGGCGCACCCGGACGCCAAGTCGCCGTTCTATCAGACCAGCTCAGAGAGTGAGAAGTCGCCCATGACGCCCGGTTACGGCGGCATCGTCTCGCCGGCGATGGACTATCAAAAATCGCCGGCGTTCTCGCCCAAACAGCCGCCGACGGCTCCGTTCTCGGACGCGACCAAGTACAACGGCGGCGTGAAGCCCGGCTTCTACCAGGATATGACACAGAAGACGGCCAGTCCGGACAAGTCGCCGTATCGCCGTCCGGGCTCCGTGGCCAGCACCCACTCCCCGGCGTCGGTGGCGGGCAGTCCCGCCTACCAGCCCAACAGCCCGCAGGTGGGTCCGGCCGCCGCCGCCGCCGCCTTCTCCGGGTACTACGGCGGGGCGCACAAGGAGCTGGGGGCCAGCGCGGCGGCCAAGTCGGCCGGCCAGCTCATGTCGCCGCCGAGCCGGCCGGCGGGCCCGGGCCGCGTGGCGCCCACCCTGCCCAGTCCGGACCCGGCGGCGCTGCTGCACGGCCGAACGACCGCCGACGATAAGCCCGGCTTCCCGTTCAAGAAGCGGGTGCAGGCCGACCTGGCGCTGGGCGGCGGTCAGGTGTACCAGCCGCAGTCTGCCGCCGCGCAGACACCCTACCAGCAAAACCAGCAGCCCACCCAGCAGCAGGCGCACAGCAAGTCGCAGCTGCCGACCGCCGCCGCCTACCAGCAGCTGCCCGGGAACCTGGGCAATATCTCCCAGCTGGTGACACGGTTACCGCAGCAGCAGCAGCAGCAGCACCAACAGCAGCAGCAGGAGGCTCGGGAGAAGCAGGAGGCGGTAGCGGCAGCTGCCGCCGCGGCGCAGAAAGAAGCAGCTGCGGCGGCTGAGGCGGCGGCCGCCCGGCAGCTACTGCAGCGGCAAAAGGGCCAGCAGCTGGAGGCGCAGGTGCGGCTGATCCAGGAGCAGAAGCAGAAGCAGCAGAAGCAGATGGCCGGCGAGCGGCAGCAGGCCGAGAAGCAGCAGCAGCAGGCCAGCAAGGCTGTCGAGCAGCTGCAGCAGCAGCAGCAGCAGGCCGTCTCTACCGCCGGCATGTCGCCCAACAGCTGGAGCGCCAACTCCGTCTCCTACTTCAAACAGATGGCCAGTCCGCACATGCAGCTTTACCACCAGCAGCAGACGATGAAGGCGTTCCAGCAGCACCAGCAGCAGCAGCAACAACAGCAGGAACAGCAGCAGCAGCAGCAGCAGCAGCCGCAGGCGCACCAGCACCAGACGCAGCCGCAGCAGCAGCAGCAGAGCGGCGCCGACGGCGGCGGGAAGGCCTCGGGCGGCGGGAAGACGCCGGCCGTCACCACCAGCTCGTCGTCGGGTCTGAACCTGGGCGGGCTGGGCGGCCTGGTACCCGGCGCCGGCTACAACCCGCTGCTGCCGTCCAGCTTCCAGGCGTCGCTGGGCGGCGGCACGTACCCGTACCTGGGCCTGGGCCAGTCGCGCTCGCCGCAGCCGGCGCACCAGAACTTCAACCAGGCGCACGCGTCGCTGTCGCAGATGGGCGGCCAGGCGCGCGCGGCGGCCGGCTCTCCACACAGCTCGCAGGCCTCCTCGTTGCTGACGCCGTCACCGTTCGGCGCGGCGGCGCGCGGCCACCCGCTGAGCTCGGAGACCATGTACCAGCAGTACTACCGGCAGCAGGAGGAGCTGCTGCTGCACCACCAGGCCGGCGCCGCCATGGCCATGGCCATGGGCGCGGCGGCCGGCGGCTATCCGCCCGGCTACCCGCACCTCTCGTCGCTGCGCCAGGCGCCCGGCTTCCAGCCGCCGGGGGGCGTGTCGCGCTCGCCGTTCTTCTAGCGCCGCTGCCCGGCCCGGCCGGCGCCGTACAACTACCTGTGATACACCGCGGCGTCGTCGTCGCCGCCGTCGTCGTCGTTTTCGTCGTTTTTATTTGTGTCCACTGTTGGTTCGCGGAGTGCCGCGAGCGTGTCATAATCAGGTTCGGCCACTCGTCGGGGGCGAGGCGAGATGATTTATCCAGGGAGGCTCTATGGGCGCAGTGAGCGGGTCTTCCCTGTCCCAAGTGCGTTGTGCATACATATAGTGTTTAGCAGAAGACGTGTGGAGCTTGTATATTGGTGGAAGCGTTTATGTGTGTGTCTGTGTGCGCGTGTGCGCAGAAGAACCAGTAGTTTGGTATGTGGTCCGTGTTGTCCGCCCGGTTGTTTTAGATCAGTATTGAGCTGTTTTACCGGCGCACGATTCTGTTCGGTTGGGTAGTGTGGACCGGCGCGCCTCTGCCGGTCGCCGGAGGCACTCACTCGCGGTCCGCGCGCGTGCACCGACCATGTTTAAAACCGACTCGACTCATGAGTGCGTGCGATCATCCCCATTGAGCGGTGTGAGTGGGGCGGCGGCCGGGCGCGCGCTGCCGGCCGGCCGGCCGCCGGTCGGTCTGTCCGCACGGGTAGATCTCATTGTCCCTGCCGGCGGCGACTCCGCGCAGAGCCTCCACCGCCACCGTGTACATATGCGGCCGATATATGCAACTGACAAAACTGTGCCGTCGTCAAGAGGTTTTTTACGATGTTATGTACGCATATAAAGCCAATATGTGTAGAGGCCATTTGTTTTTGTCGTGGCGGAGCCCGAGCGCGGTGCACTCGTCTCGCGTTGTTTTAGTGTTTTGTTCGGCGCGACGCGCGTTCAAGCCTGTGGCTCCTCTCTGTTCTCAGTCAGACGTTTATTACATCTAGCATCACAGTTGGTTGCACATTCGCTATATGTTTTCGCAATAAAATCTCGCTACATGCCGTCAGTGCACTCCACGACTCTAGCCTACCACACGCCGGGTATTGCCCAACAATTGCGTCCGCCGCGTAACACATCTTTGGTCGAATATCGAGGGCGGTCCGTCCACCGTGCGGTCCGGCGCCGCCCTCTGCACCGGCGGCCGCCCAGTCGCGAATAAATAACGCCCCACACGAGCGGCCCAGTGGTCCTATGACGTCACAGGTCCAAAGGCAGCATCACAGTACCGTCCGCCGGCGCGGCGGGCAATCACAGGTCGGGGCGTCGCTCCGCCCCGCTCCCCACTCTCCCCCGTGGCGGTCGAGGCGTTCTCCGCCCCTCTCGCCACTCCACTGACGGAGACTGCCTCTCATCGGCGCGTCCTGCCCTTCTTTCCGCCGGGCAGCAGGTGTCTTAGTTTCTGCAGATTCGTCTTGGTTATCTGTGGAAGACAGAGAAACGGTCAGCTCAGACAGATCGATGACGTGAGACGAAAACACTAAAAAAAAAGAGCGTATTGACTATATGGTCAAACTGGCCTCTGGTATGTTCCCGATACCTACAATCGCGCATTTCCGTGATGATGGCTAGCAAGAACGGTTGAAAAAGCTGCATAAAACTTTCAAGTCTGGATGCTGAGAGGCGTAATTAATCCATTCAATCCCCAGTTTGTGATCTGGGTACGTCAACTGAGGCCCTGTTGCCTTCGTCAGTTACCTGGTCATCTGGTTTGATGCGCAGCGCCTCAAGGTACGACTGTTCGGCCTCGGCCAGCTTTCCGTTGACGTGCAGCATCGCTCCCAGGTTCATATGACTGGTGGCCTCCTGAGGGAGTGGGGGAACGCTGTCAGAACGGGGCATCGAGGGGCACCTCTACGGGATCACCCTGGCGGTCATACGGGATCTACGGGTCATACGGGATCACCCAAGGGGGCTCCATGAGTCAGCCCAGCAGACGCCGGGTGATGGGAACAGTGGGTATGTCACATGAGTAGGCGGAAATACGTGACGTACTGGGGAGCTGCTGATTCAGCGTACAGCGCGCCATACTTACTACGATTACTTTTTTTGTAAATAAGGAGGGCAGGGCAGTTGAACAAGTACGACTCAGACCTCAGGTTATTCCCCAGCCCAGTGACTACTGCCGGGTGACCTGCCCCATGTGGATGGACAAGCCTTGAGCCTTCCACCCGAATCCATCCCCTGTCCCTCCATCGTCGCCTCCATCGCCTCGCCTCCTTCACTCACATTGGGCCGGAGCCGGACGGCGATCCGGTAGTAGTGTTCGGCCTCCTCGTTGCGCGCCGCCTGGCGGAGAATGTTGGCAGCGTTGAACACCATCTCGTACTCGTGCGGCGCTAGTTCGGCCGCCCGCCGGTAGATGGCAGCAGCCTGCGTCAGCCGCTCCCCGTCCGCCAGGTGCTGGCCTGTGAATGAAAAAAGGAGACATTTAGCTTACATGTTCGGGATTAAACCGAGTCGGGGATTCACTCCACATCATGAATAAAGCATTAGGCGGGGACCTGGGGAAACTACACAGTCGAGCTGGCCGGAAGGCTACCTCACGTCGAGCCGGAAGGCTACCTCAGCAGCAATGAGCAAGCGAGCGCCCTTGCTAGGACCGGTGTAACCGTAAGCCTGGCCTCAGGCGTCCCATCAGCCCAGCCAAGCCTCAAATTAATCTTTTTCCATTATCACGACATCACCAACCCTTCCTTGTTCACCTACTGGTGTGAGCCCACAGGGGTGCTCGGCCAGACCAATGTCTCCCCGAATTCCTATCATCCTTCCGGTCCTGGAATGGTCTCGTCAGACCGAAAGGGCCTAATCCGACAAAACAAACAAAAAAGTTATCCATCCCGGGGCCAGGGATGACTGTAAACATGACAGTCACCAGCTCATTGAAAAGGGCGAACAAAACTAAATAACAAACATGAAACATTTACATCCGGCCTTCAGTAAACCTGTTCGGAGCTCGTGTATTCTGACATTCAAATACGTTTTAGGCAAACACATTTTAAAACTGAGTCAAAAGTTTGGCCGTTTGGATATCGGGCAGTATCGTCCGGCGTTTTTCGCCCGGAGGGAGTGACATCAGTGGTGCCTACCGCAACAGGCAGTTGCATGACTGACAGCCCGACACGATAGCTGAATTCGGTGACGGTGCCGGACAGACGCCCTTTCGGTCGATTGAGAGGGAGGGCAAAGTGGTCGGTCGCTCGTTCGGAGCATTTAGAGTGATCGGCCGGTCAATCATTCGGTCGTTTTGGTCGATTGGAGCGGCCAACCATGCTGGAGCAGTCGATCTGAAGATCATCTGGTTGGTAGGTCTGTCGATCGTTATGGTAGGTCGGTTGGGCGGTCGTTCTATAGGCAGCATGGTATCTGCCGGTTGATTCAGTATATGAAGTGGTCTGAGTGGTCATTGAGACGGTCGTTCTATCGTTCGTTGGTCAGTTGGTCCGTCCTGGGCGGTTCAGTGGTCGGATATGTTACCCGGTCGGCCAGTTACGCTCACCGGGTGGTCAATTGGTCGGCTATGTCGATTTGGTTGGTCCGTCGGTTGGTTGGTCAGTACCCGTATGTTACCCGTTCCGTTCCGTTGGTCGGTTATGTTACCCGGTAGGTCGGTTGATGGGTTATGTTACCCGGTCTGTCGGTCGGTTGGTCTGCTTGGTACCCGGTCCACGGGTCCGTCGGCCGGTCGGTGACTGGGTTTATTCGGTCGGTCGGGTTCGGTCGGTTATGTTACCCAGACTCTCGGTCGGTCGGCCTGTTGGTCGGTTGGTCGGTTATGTTACCCTGTCCGTGGTTGGGTCGGCTATGTTAGCCGGTCCGTCGGTCGGTCGGTTATGTTACCCGATCAGTCGGTCGGGCGGTCGGCGGCGCGAACAACGGGACGGCCGGCTGGTCGGTCGGTTACTTTACCCGATCGGACGGTTGGTCGGTCGGTTACTTTACCCGGTCGGACGGCTGGTCGGTCGGTTACTTTACCCGGTCGGACGGTTGGTCGGTCGGTCGGTTACGGTTACTTTACCCGGTCGGCCGGCTGGTCGGTCGGTTACTTTACCCGGTCGGACGGTTGGTCGGTCGGTTACTTAACCCGGTCGGACGGTTGGTCGGTCGGTTACTTTGCCCGGTCGGACGGTTGGTCGGTCGGTCGGTTACTTTGCCCGGTCGGACGGTTGGTCGGTCGGTTACGTTGCCCGGTCGGACGGTTGGTCGGTCGGTTATGTTACCCGGTCGGACGGTTGGTCGGTCGGTTACTTTACCCGGTCGGACGGCTGGTCGGTCGGTTACGTTGCCCGGTCGGACGGTTGGTCGGTCGGTTATGTTACCCGGTCGGACGGTTGGTCGGTCGGTCGGTTACTTTACCCGGTCGGACGGCTGGTCGGTCGGTTACTTTGCCCGGTCGGACGGTTGGTCGGTCGGTTACTTTGCCCGGTCGGACGGTTGGTCGGTCGGTCGGTTACTTTGCCCGGTCGGACGGTTGGTCGGTCGGTTACGTTGCCCGGTCGGACGGTTGGTCGGCCGGTTATGTTACCCGGTCGGACGGTTGGTCGGTCGGTTACTTTGCCCGGTCGGACGGCTGGTCGGTCGGTTACGTTGCCCGGTCGGACGGTTGGTCGGTCGGTCGGTTACTTTGCCCGGTCGGACGGTTGGTCGGTCGGTTACTTTGCCCGGTCGGACGGCTGGTCGGTCGGTTACGTTGCCCGGTCGGACGGTTGGTCGGTCGGTCGGTTACTTTGCCCGGTCGGACGGTTGGTCGGTCGGTCGGCTATGTTACCCGGTCGGCCGGCTGGTCGGTCGGTTACTTTACCCGGTCGGACGGCTGGTCGGTCGGTTATGTTACCCGGTCGGACGGTTGGTCGGTCGGTCGGTTGTTACCCGGTTCGTCGGCGACGCTAGCCACGGGGTGGCTGGTCGGTTGGTCGGTTTTGTTGGTCCGTCTGCGGGCCGGTTATGTTACCCGGTCGGTTGCTCTGCTATGCGCCCGTTCGGTCTGTGGGTCGGACGGCGGTGCTAACCACGGGGCGGCCGGCTGGTCGGTCGGTTATGTTACTCGGCCGGTCGGTTGATCGGTTATGTTACCTGCCCGTCGGTCGGTTGGCTAGTCGGTCGGCTATGTTACCCGGTCGGTCGGCGGCGCTAACTGCACCGGCCGGCCGGCCGGCCGACATGCCTCTCTGGCCGCCACAAAGGGCGCACCGTTTGATGGTAAGCGACACGGCAGTTTTTAATGTAGGTGACAATGCAGCCGAGATTAAAGCCCGCTGCGACCGACAAAAGGTCTGCATAGTCATTTAGTGCACAGCCTTGTCTGCAGCTGGAGCCGAGCTGATGTACGAATTACATGTAGGTATTTGAGCCGGCGTGCGGTGATAATAAATATATAACGCACCGAATCCTATCCGGTTAGCTTTTGCGATCCATGGGTTCACTATGCCATTCACTGTCTAATTGACCTGTTGCTATACAGACGTTCGTAACACACGAGCAGTCCAGTAGGTACTGGGGCTGGCTCGTTAGATACAAATCAATTAACCAATCTGGGCGAATCGCTTATGTATGACTATGAAGTTCTGCGAATGTCGCATACCTCGGGCATGCACCCATTTGCTGTGCATGCCTGTCAAGTTGTTTGTGACCGCTCCACAAAAACCGGCGGTTGTCCGCGCTCGCGTGCAGGTCGGCTGGTTCACGGAATCGTCCCGCCGCCCTCCCCACGTGCCCGGTAAGGCAGTGCGGAGGTGACACAGCGCACTGGCCATCCGTATAGCATGCAGCGGGCTCCTGAACAGACACCACACGCCAACCAGCCGTCCGATCGTCCCTCAGACATAAGGAGACATCCTCGTCCGCTTCGTTCGAGGTCCTGTACTTGGGTCTGTAACTCTACATCACCGGCCCAAACCCGGACCGACCCACACACGATCCGAACGGCCACATGTCACCCACTCGTGAGCGGTGCATCGGTGCATCTAGCCAAACAGGAAACTGGCCGCCGCCGAATCCGCAGCCCG